TTCTCTTGTTGGAGGTGGGGTGGGAAGGGTCTTCCTATTTTTCATTGACCTTCCACTTTACCTGTCCAAAGTACTAGAGACAAATTCTTGCCATCCTCCCTTTTAAGGAGCTCCCTGGCTGTACTTCCAAAAGATTTGTTTGTTCTGGCAATTCATAGCACTTTAAATATTCTTCGCTGGACCAATAAACAACATTCTTATCAATGGAGAAAAGATTGAAGTTGTCAAGGACTTCATTCTTCTTGGATCAACTGTCAACACTCGCGGAAGCTGCAGTCAAGAGATCAGATGACATATTGCATTGGGCAAATCTGCTGCACAGGAACTTTTTAAAGTATTGAAGAGCAGAGATGTCAGCTTGAGGACTAAGGTGCGCCTGACCCAAGCCATGGTATTTTCAATAACTTCATATGGATGTGAAAGCTGGACAGTGAATAAGGAAGATCGTAGAAGAATTGATGCCTTTGAGTTGTGGTATTGGAGGAGAATACTGAAAATGCCATGGACTGCCAGAAGAACCAATAGATCTGTTTTGGAAGAAGTGCAGCCAGAGTGCTCCTACTTTGGACATATTGTCCGGAGAGAACAGTCGCTGGAGAATGATATGATGTTTGGTAAGGTGGAGGGTCAGAGAAAAAGAGGAAGACCCCCAACGAGATGAATTGGCCAGGTGGCATCACTGATGGACTCAAGTGTGGCAGCGGTGGTGAGGTTGGCCCAGGATCGGACATTGTTTCATTCTGCTGTGCATGGGGTCACTATGAGTTGGTTCCGACTCGATGGCACCTGACAACAACACCACCACCACAATAATTCAAATGCATTGATTCTTCTATGGTTTTCCTTATTTATTGTACAACTTTCACATGCATATGAAACAACTAAAGATATACCATGGCTTGGGTTAGGTGCACCTTACTTCTCAAACTGACATCTTTACTCTTTGACACTTTAAAAAGGTCTTTTGCAGCAGACTGCCTACTGCAGTATGTTCTTTGATTTCTTGATCGCTGCTGTCATGAGTGTTGATTGTAGCTCCACGTAAAATACAGTCTTTGACAACTTCAATTTTTTTCTCAGTTTTTAACAATATTATTAATTGGACCAGTTGTGAGGATTTTTGTTTTCTTTACATTGAAAAGGTTAAGGTGACTTATGTTTTGGGATTCCAAGTGGTAATCTTAATAGAATTTATCAAAGGACACAGAACTTAAAAACTGCACTGATGAGGAATATTTTTCAACACCACAATGCATTTACTCATTCTTCGAGGGTTATAAGAGCTGTCCTATGAGAATTCAGCTGGGAAACCCTATTGTATCCACCCTCTAGTCCTCATCTTGCTCCTTTTCAGACTTCTCCCTGAATCTCAAAGAATACTGAAAAGGAACACAATCTGGGTCCCTTAAGGATGACAAAACGGTTGTTTTGATGTGTAAAATAGAAGAGTGCAGACTTTTTCAGGGAAGAGTTAAAGATCTAGAGCAATGCCTTCAGAAGTATATAGACCTACATGGAAAAAATGTCAAGAAAGAACATCTTCAAATTTTGATATTTTTGTTTATTCAACAAAAATAAAGATAGAATAAAGATTTCTATGATTTTGTAATAATACTTTTTGATTTACCATTGTATTATGTATTATCTTCTTAGCCTTCCTAAATGAACCTGTGACCATTTAACAAAGCAAATATGTAAGCAGAGTCTAAAAATTCCTAGACTTTTTAGGGCTATTGAACCCTTCTGGAGTCTTAATGCTAATTTCTGTGAACCATAACATCACTAATCTGTTGAGAACCTTATTGAAGTCAGATGACTAATGGAGTTATAACTGCCTCTACCGCAGCAGTGCCTTGGGTATCTCACCTTATTTCCTGCGTATAAAGCTATGGTGATAACATCAGCAATCAGCAGAGTCAACACACTGGCTTCCTGACTCTGGAGTACATAATGGAGGGTACAACTGATGTAACTGTTACAATGCGACCATCATTTGCAGAGTCCCAACACACAGGACTGCAACGTTGGTTTGAAATACAAGGTCGGAAGTTCAAAATCACTAGCTGACCCTTGGAAAACCTATATTGGGTTGCTATGGTTGGAGCTGACTAAACACACTTCACAGCAACAACAAATACTAATATTATCATGGGAATAAGACTGCGAGTGTACAAATACTGCTGAATGATGAAAGGATATTGTAATCATTGCAATGAAACGATGAGTGCAAAACTGATGTTCTCCCATGTAAACTATCACTCAATTCACAATAAAAACTAGAAAAAAAAATAAAAGACTGCTAATGTAGAACTTTTGTTATTATGTGCCGTGGAGTTGGTGCCGACCCATATTGGCCCTGTACAGGGTTTCCGAGGCTGTAAATCTTTACGGGAGCAGAAAGCCTCATCTTTCTTCTGTGGAATAGCTGATAGTTTCGAACTGCTGACTTTGAAGTTCACAGCTCGATTTGTAACCACTACGCTACCAGAGCTTCTTACTTATTCAACTTGTATGCTGAGTAAATAATCTGAGAAGCTGGGTTGTATGAAGAAAAACGTGGCTTCAGGATTGGAGGAAGACTCATTAACAACCTGCGATATGCAGATGATACAACCTTGCTTGCTGAAAGTGAAAAGGACTTAAAATATTTACTGATGAAGATCAAAAAGCATAGCCTTCAGTATGGATTGCATCTCAATGTCAAGAAAACAAAAATCCTCACCACTAGACCAATAAACAGCATTCTTATCAACAGAGAAAAGATGGAAGTTGTCAAGGACTTCATTCTTCTTGGATCAACTATCAACACTAATGGAAGCAGCAGTCAAGAAATCAGACGACATTTTGCATTAAGCAAATCGGCTGCACAAAACCTTTTTAAAGTGTTGAAGAGCAAAGATGTCAGCTGGAGGACTAAGGTGCGTCTGACCCAAGCCGTGGTATTGTCAATAACCTCATATGCATGCAAAAGTTGGACAGTGAGTAAGGAAGACCATAGAAGAACTGATGCATTTGAGTTATGGTGTTGGAAGAGAATATTGAAAGTGCCATGGGCTGCTAAAAGAACAAACAGATCTGTGTTTGGAAAAAGTACATCCAGAATAATCCTTGGAGGCCAGGATGGCCAGGCTTTGTCTCTCATACTTTGGACTTACTATCAGGAGGGACCAGTCGCTGGAGAAGGATATCATGTTTGGTAAGGTGGAGGGTCAGAGAAGAGGAGGAAGACCCCCAGCGAGATGGATTAGCAGGGTGGCAGCATCAATGGGCTTAAGCGTGGCAACAATTGTGAGGTTGGCCCAGGATCAGGCAGTGTTTCAATCTGTTGTACATAGGGTCACTATGAATCAGTACTGACTCAATGGCACCTAACAACAGCAATGTAGAACTAGATGGCATTTTAAAAGTATTTTTTTTCCTTTAAATTTTAATGCAGTACATTGAAGAGTGCCAAACTCCTTCCTTCCAAATTTTTCTTGGTAAAGTTGCCTTAAATGTGTGAAATTAATGCAAATGTATGTATCTTTTAAACAACAGGAATTTTTATGTTTTTGTATCAAATTAGTATCCTGGCATAAAACCCAACTTAATTATTGATAAAAAATAAGTCAATATTTGAAACTGATACTCAATTTAAGAATATGTTCTGTATCATATGATCCAAATGCTGGTCTGACTTCTGAAATTATAGCAATTTCTCTTTTTTAAGTATACCAAATAATAATCACTTATATTTTTGTGTTCATTTGTAGGTTATAATTTTAACTTGCAGAACTTTAGAAAGCAGAGTTTTTCTCTATATTAGTCATTATAAAAACTAATTTTCACTTCACCTTTTATTTTATTGATATACGATACTACATTAATTTAAAATAAAACCTCTTGAACATATGTTGTAATAGCCCAGATTTTTTTCATTTCTGCTAAATTAATGTTCTATGTTGATTTGCACTCCTCTCCCCAGCCTTATCTATGTCTGTCATAGAATTGCTGTTTCCTAGTAAAACGTACTTAAACATTTCAGTTATAACTCTCTATCCTTCAGCCCCATGTATAATCACTGTCAAAAGGTTCTTCCTTTAAGAAATACGTCAGTGTCAAACATGGATTAAACCTCGAGGCAAAAACAAATTTTAAACCAAATCCTTTTATCTAAAATATAATCAAATAAAGAAAGAATGGTATTTATAGAAACAAGATATTTTTGTCAACTAAGTTTTGTAACCATGTCAGCCTGGATTGATTATATATAAAAAAAGTCAATAAATGGCGAGAGCAAATACACACATTAAAAAAACAACAACAAAAAACTCACTTCAGAAGGTGAAGTTTTACTTCTGAGAGGTAGCACAACCAAGCCAATGAATGTTGTACGTGCATTAATTGAGGCAATTGAGATCACCCGACCATTTAACTTACTAGAAATCTCTTCAAAATTTCAGTGTTTTGGACAACTATATTAGAAGAATGGTCTCAATTTACTTTGACAAAATCTAACTCTGAAGTTTAATTATTTAAACCTTAAACCTGTAAGAAAAGTTTACTTCTGCCTCATGAAGGTATTTAATTTCTCAAAAACTATTAACAGTAATATTAAAGTAATAAAATGTCAGTGTGGAAAGAGGTAGGATTTCCTAAAATTGGAACATATTTTAACTAGGTAACTGTAAGATAGTTTACGTGCACTGGAAGAACACTGGTATTTATTCAATGTTCAATGACTGCTATCTAAAAAGTTCTGCCTTCATTTTGTACATTACAAATAGAAAAACATAAAAATAATCAGTAAGGAGAGAGACTTATATGGCTCTGTACCATGGAATTCCAAATACTCTGCATGTGAAAATTTTCTGAGTTATTCAACAGTAGGGTGATCTCAGTCAGGAACTTGGTTTCATATATGAAATGTTTTCATTAAAAATTTAAAAATTTTCTTTAAAATAAGAAATACCTGGAAAGCATAGCTCCCAAACCAGCTAAGTCAAAAACTGCTAATTTGCTGAATGAAAACAGCACTGTTTTTTATTTTTATACTACTGAACTAAAAGTGTATAGAAAAAGAACTACAGTTGGTTGGCATAGAGAACAAGCAGGTCATCTATATAAATATCTCTACATTTACCATCTTCTGCAGCTGCTTGCTTCTGCTTTATCATCCACTGATATTTCAACTCTGTCAGCTACTGTATCTTCAGATGCTGACTGCACATGACCTTCTGACTGTCCTCCAGTGTAGGTTGGGGTGCTATATTTTAAAAGGATAGATTTAAATTGCATCAGAGGTGCATCTGTACGAACACCCATTGGGTCAAAATGAGTTCGGCTTACTCGAAAGCCTGCTTGAGAAAGATAGCACAAAAATTTTTTTAACCTGCAGTAAGAAAAGAAAAAAAAAATTAAATAAAATTATTATATTTTAATCTAAATCACATCATTAAAACATAAAATACATTCTTTGCCTGTCATTCATTGGCTGTCTTACTTTGGCATATTCATTCCTTTAATGCTGTGTCTGTGGATGTTGTAATAAAAGGGGGGATGTTCAGTACTGTTGTCAGCCTTTTGTCTCTTGGCTAAATTTGTAACCATTTCATTACTTTTTCTCTTTCCTGAAATACACACACACACACACACAGAAAATTAGCATTCTCTTAAAAATCATAAACCAAATACAATTTTTTATAACTCGAGCAGTGGACTGCTTCCCATAAGGTCAGTAGTTCAAACTCACCAGTGGCCCTATGGGAGAAAATGAGGCTGTGTGCTCTGTAAGATCTGCAGTTTCGGAAACCCTGAGTTGGAATTGACTCAACGCAGTGGGGTGGTTTTTACAATTTTATACTTTATCAAGTCAAAACTCTTGACACAAACAATTTCAACCAATTTATCCAATCTCCTGGTGTGGAGCAGGTTAATGCACTGAGCTGCAAAGTCAGTTTGAACCACAAGGTTGGCGGTTCAAGCTCACCACCTGCTCCTTGGAAACTCACAGGGTCATTATGAGTCGGAATCGACTTGATGGCATTTAACAACAATCCAATCTTAATTCTTTTGTGAGTCTACACTTCACATTTTTCACCTGTGAAATTTTAATTTTTGATTTCTCTGATTCAGAACTTTCTGCCTTCTTCAACTTCAAGCCTCAACTCAATTTCTATTTCCTAGAGGAAGACCTATCGGACTTGTGGTATGGCGCTGTAGGTTCAGCACTGAACAGCAAACCACAAGGTTAGCAGTTCAAGCCTACCAGCTGCTCCTAGGAAACTCTACATAGGGCCACTATTATTCAGTACACACTTGATGGCACTTAACAAACAGGAAGACAGAAGTCCTGGTGTAGTGCTGTGGGATAAAGCACTGGACCCAAGGTCAGTTTGAACCACATGGTTGGAGGTTCAAAAGCTCCAATCGCTTCTTGGAACCCCTATACAGGGTTGCTATGAGTCAGAACCAACTCTGCAGCACTTAACAACAAAAAAGGAAGACATTGTGAATTATGGAACAATCACTTCAACAACTTCATTATTGTTAATACTATTATTGTACACTACTCAGAGGTTGATTACATTTTGTCATTTTTTTCTTTTCTTAAAATTGTTTCATGTATTACAAGTCTTTAAAGTGTATAAATCCTTTCTCCACAAATTATGTTCTAAGTTCCTGGGAATAATGTCTTTCATTTTTACACCTGTAGATTCTACTGAATGTGTATATATTCAGTATTTAGTATTGCATACACAGTAGGTCCTCAGCATACAATAAAGCAAACAAACATCTCAAGAGCTTGGTCACAGAAACTGATAAAGATATAATGTATGATATCATTACTTCTTATCCAGTATTAATTTCTCAGTTTTAAGTGAAAGGAGGCAAGCCAGTACAGTTTCTACCAATGTATCCTTCCAAACACCAAGAAGAAAACAACTGGGATAGTATGGATGTTATTGCCAAATCTTAATTTTTTAGGGAACACATTTAACAGTTGGTTAAGCAAAATTATTCAGAGGGCAACTGTGATACACTGAAATATAAACTGCATTAAGAGGTAAACAGATTATTGATGAACTGTTGCCCTTTTTTACATCTGAAAAAAATCACAGATTTGATCCATCCATTAAATCAAATTAAAAACCTTATACTTTCATCACATAAAATATATACCAACGCAAATACTGAAAAGGATATACCCAGAGTTAGTAAAAGTTCTAGGAAAGTCTTAAACTAAAAAATTCAACAGAATACCTTAAGAGTACTATTATTATTAGTACAGGATCTGTTTTTGCCTGGTATTTTCCATTTATCATGGAAAATTTTATGCACTGATAGATAAGTCTTAAAACATTCATAAAATTTTAGAGCTATAAAAGAGCCCACACAGATTAGTCTATTTCCCTTAAATTGTATATGAGAAATGCTCAGAAATTTTAAAGACTTTTCAGACTTACTTATGCCTTACCCAGTGCTCTTTACCTTATACCAGAATGATTCTTTTTCTGCCTTCCAATAGAGAAATTTAGTAGTGTATATAATTTTTAAGCTATGTGAATGTTAGTATAGTTGAAAACTCCTGGTATGGCAATGCAGGATAAGTACTTGACTGCTAACTACAAGGTCAATGGTTCAAACTCACCAGCTACTTCTTGGAAACCTATGCATGACTGCTATGAGTTAATGGCACCTAACAATCAACAACAGCAAACAACTTAAAGATGCCACATGAACATGACTGCTTTATGAATCATGCAGTAGTTATAAAGCCATATGCTATAAAAAAACCTATTTTAAGTTTTCTAATTTTTGAAGGTAAACACTACAATGCTGAGCAACTAATACAAAATTATAGCTTTTTGTTCTTTCAACCTTGACATCGTTTATGTTTTTTCTCTAACCAAAACACATTTGGAATCTAAAATTCTTTGCAAAAGCAAAACAAAAGACACCTTAGATACTGACATTTCAAATATTAATACCCTTCTGATAGAAAATCTTGACAGAACAAAATCTAACACTTAACTCTAACTTTATCATTTATAGCTGAATCTTACTTTGGCTCACCTGGTACTTTTCTAGATCTTATAGTACTTTCAAGGGGATCATCTCATATTGAAATGTGAACAAAGTACAAGTTAATAAAAATTTTGAACTTTGTGAATGCCAGATAAACAAGTTTAACTATGATTATGTTGTTAGTATATGATGAAAATGCATTTTTAAGTAGGTTACCATAGCAACCTATTCTCTTTCTACCCTTCTGCTACCATTTCTTTGTGTTGATACACACACACATATACATATATATATGTACGGAGTCCTAGCGTGGTGCTGTGGGTTAATGCACTAGACTGCAAAGCTGGTTTGAACTGCAAGGTTGGCGGTTCAAGCTCACCAGTCGCTCCTTGGAAGCCCTATACAGGGCATTATGGTTTGGAACCGACTCAATAGCACTTAATAACAAGAACAATATATACTCATATAAGGAGCTCTAGCTGGTAGCGTAGTGGTTACGAATCAGGCTGCAAAACTTAAGGCCAACAGTTCGAAACTACCAGCGGCTCCACAGGAGAAAGATGAGGCGTTCTGCTCCCGTAAAGATTTACAGCCGCAGAAACCCTGTACAGGGTCGCTATGGGTCGGAACCAACTCAACGGCACTTAACAACAACAACAACAGTAGCATAGTGGTTATGAGTCAGGCTGCTAACTTTAAGGTCAGCAGTTTGAAACTACTTCCTGTTCTATGGGAGAAAGATGAGGCTTTCTGCTCCTGTAAAAATTTACAGTCTTGGAAATCCTATACAGGGCCAGTATGAGTTGGAAACTACTCCACAGCACACAACCACCATTAATACATATGTGTATATTTGTACTGAAATACATACCTTGTGCAATATAATGATCTGTTGTGGTGTCATCTGTAGTTTTAGGACATACGCCATATTCTTCTAACATGAAAACAAATGGAAATAACAAAGTATTTTATAAAAATGACATTAATAATTCAAATTTTAAATAAAAGTTTTTGAAATTCAATCCATACTGCTTTTATGAAAATATGAGATTTTTGTCCAAAACAGATTGCAAGAATTACTTCTTAAAATCCTCTCTAAGAAAACTACTTATGGAAAAGCTAGGATATTTAATGTTGCTATTATTATTAAGTGCCATCAAGTTGTTTCCGACTCACAGTGACCCTGTATAAGGTTTTCCAAGAGTGGCTAGTGGGTCTGAATCATCAACCTTGTGGTAAGCAGTCCAATACTTACCCTACAGCACCACACCAGGACCCCGGATATTTAATAGGCCCATCTTTATATCAATAGCTTGATAAGACTATAAAAGTCCATTTACATTAAAGATTAAAAAAAAAGAAGGAAAAAACTTTACTGAGTGATAAATGCAAATCTATCTTCCATGTCTCAACGGACATTACCAAAATTAATTGCACTAACATTCTTAAAAATGATCTAAGATTTCTCTGCCTAGAAAGTAGATAAAACAACAAAGGACTTTTCATTTTTATTTTGTGAAATAAAATTCACTATTTCAGATCTTGAGTAGAAACCTGAAAAAAGTTTTGTATTTAAAAAATAATTTTGGAAAACAGTTTAGAAACCAGATTATGATTAGACTTATTAGAGACTTATTTAAAGCATTCTAGTTATATTGTTTTTGATGGTCAAATCAAATAAAGACAAAAAGGTTATAGTCTTTTTGATAACTGGTTTATAATCTAGCTTTTACCTAGCTTGTTGACATTTGAAGATGAAAGCTGACTTTGAGGAGTACACTCTGATTCAAAGATTAACGTCTTTATTAGGGTCTGAATGTCATCTAAACCATGGTGAAGAGATTCAAGTAACATTCTTTTGAGGAAACCAGTATTGAAAAGGGAACTTGACCTGAAAAAGAAAATATATTGAGAACTAGGTTAGAGAAATATTTATTTAAAATAAGTCTCTATAATTTTAACAATTCATATAAATAAGTTGTTAAGTGTCATCAAGTCAATTCTGACCCATAACAACCCTGTATATGGTTTCCAAGGAGCAGCTGGTGAGCTTGAATCACTGGCCTTGCAGTCCAAATGACTTTGTAGTCTGACACATTAGCCCATAGTGCCACACCAAGACTCCAAGATAAGTAAGTGGTGGTGGTGGTTATGTGCTGTGGAGTCGGAATCTACTCATAGCAACCCTGTACAGGGTTTCCAAGGCTGTAAATCTTTACGGGAGCAGAAAGCCTCATGTTTCTCCCGCTGACAGCTGGTAGTTTCGAACTGCTGACCTTAAGGTTTACAGCCCGATTCGTAACCACTATGCTACCAGAGCTCCTTAAGTAGGATATAGTAAATACTGAAACTCAGAAAGAATATATAACTTAATTTAAAATAGTTTACCCACTATTTTTTTAAATCATCTCAGTTCTCTAAGCTAGTGGGGTAAGTCCAGCAAACTTCATTCACAATAAACAAACAAGAATTCGGTGCTGTGGGTTAAAATGCGTTAGATTGCAAAGTCGGTTTGAACTGCAAGGTTGGTGGTTCAAGCTCACCGGTTGCTCCTTGGAAACCCTCTAGAGGGTTGCTATGTGTCAGAACTGACTCGACGACACTTAACAACAACAACATAATAGACAGCATTGTGGGATATATGGTGATCAGTGAGAGATCAATGTAAGCTATGCTAATGGGAATTCAGAGATTTGGGGATGATGAACTAAGGAGAGACTTAAAAGAGAAAGCCGAACGTGAACTGGAGGTGGGAGCCCTGAGGAAGGCATTCTAGGTGAAAATAAAGTGAGTTTTGAGGATATTAAAAGGTATGGTTTACAACCCAGTCTTAGGAAACAGAAAACCTGTTTTGGCTATGAATGTGCCATTAATTTGTTTGGTCAGTTTTAGTAACCACTTTAAGAATTCTGTGCCACAATTTCTCATCTGTAAAATGAACAAATTGAGCTATATTCTGGATTGTGTAGTCGTTATTCTTAATTTCCCCAGTCACAGATCAATGAGTAGGATCAATTTATAGCAGATGACTGAGGTTAGAAGAGTACAAGAAGATAAAACTGGCCTGGTCATTCTTTTTTAAGATAAATAATATTTCAATGCAATATTTAATAAAATACAAATGCAAAAAGATCTATAAACAGTTTTTCAATAAAGACAGGAAACAGTTCTGTGCTAAGCCATACTGGAGCCTGAGGTCAAAGAAAACATCAGTATTAAGTCCTTCCTTTTTTTTACATCCTCTTGTCATGGTCCTTGACAACATTTCTTATCCTTTCTAAGTCTCCTTTGAGGATTAAGCTGTTCTTCTGAGTCCTCTCAGTGTTACAGGATTCCTCATACCTCCCTTCTGTCTGTCGCCTCTTCTGTCACTTCTACTACCTGCCTCATTGGACAGGATATCTGTAGAGATACTATAACTTCTACACAACTTGCCACCGTCTCAGAATTCTTATAATTGCGCAGGCAAAATACTATTTTGAAAATCTCTTGCCTGCCCCTCATGATTCATTTCCCTTTTCCACACTTTTTGCCTTTCTGACTTTCCTTCAAGCAGTTCCTTCCCATTCTCCTTTTGCCTTTATGAACAGGCAGTCTTTGGGTCTTTGGGTTACTGACTAACAAGAACTGGTTGGTGGTTGTGTGCTGTCCTGTTCATTCTGACTCATAGGCACTCTGTATAGGTATAGATTTTTCGAGGCTGTAAATCTTTAAAGGAGCAGAAAGCCCCTCCCTCCAATGGAGTACTGGTGGAATGAACTGCTGACTCTACAGTTAGCATTCCAACAGGTAATTCATCATATTACGAGCTCCGACTACTTGTCCTTAGTGTAAATTTGCCCTCATTTTGAAAAGAATGAACCAACTGACAATTCTTCATCACAATCACCTTCACTTGCTGCATGTGGAACTTTAAAATCTCACATTAAAGTAAACCATAGTCACTTATGTACAAACACACACATATATATGATCTACGCATGTCATTTGCCCATTTTAAAATTGGTGTCTGTCATTTTGTTGTTGAGCTGGCAAAGTTTTTATACAAGGGCACTTCAAAAAGTTCGTGGAAAACAAATTTCATTATCTTTCAATTTCCGCTTTCCTTTAACTTTTTTTTAACTTTTTATTGTGAACTGAGTGAAAGTTTACAGGGAAGATTATCAGTTTTACATTCAACAAATCATATACTTTGTTTTATTACAATACTTATAATCCCCTCCACGTACCATCAGTTAACAGTGTTTCTCTACATATATTTTAGCTCTTTTTTGAGTTTTTTTTCAAAAATATTCAGGCATATATAATAATTTAAACCACCAAAGGGCATTGCCTCCTGGCTGCCTCCTGGCTACCAGCTCTCAGTCCCTCTCTTTCCATGAATCTAGAGTCCTCAGCTGCTCCCTCTCTCCATGTCCCCATCTCTGCCTCCATCTCTGGTTTCACTGCTTCTCTGGATAAGGTCCCACATTCCAATTGCGCTCTTCTCCCTTGATGGTCCTAGGGTCCTGTTTCTGGACTGTAAGATTAACTACTCCCCCTTTTTGTTACAAAACTTCTACCTTTATTTACAATTGTGAAAGTTAACAATTAGTTATTCAGTGGGGACTCTATCTTCCCTTTAACTTTTTGAAATTCCCTCATATTCTGGATATTAAAACCTTTATCAGCTATATGATTTCCAAATATTGTCTCCCATTCTGTATATGGTCTTTTTAACTTTCTTCATCTGGCTAGGCAAACTTAATCTAATGGTAGTTACATATGCTAAAGATAAAATAATACGCATCAACAAGAAGTTATTTACCATTTAAGATACTTTCTAGATTCAGCATATAGCTAAATCAGGACCTGGTAAAGTAACAATGTGAAATTTTGCAATGATTTTTATCATAATATTCTTAGTAATCTCAAATTCCTATAAGAAACCTCTAATAACAACAAGTATACTGTAAGGATCCGAGTTAAATAAATTCAAATTTATTAAGAATACAGTAACTTCTTACTAATGATACAAAAGCACATAGTATCTTTTAGTTCCATTTTTCCACGAACTTTCTGAAGCCCCCTTGTACATGAAATGTCTGCCATTGTGTCCTATTTAAGCAGCTTCACCTAAAACAAAGGACATTTCATATGTCCTTCTTGCTTAAACTAATTCCTCAATGACTTTGTAAAATTGGCAATTCAATAAAATGTTACCACAATCACCTCAAAATCACACTCTACTTCTCTAATTATCAATATTATTTACTATTTTAAAATTAATTCTATAGTTTGCAGATGTTTCACTTCTCTGCCTCAATTATTAGGGAGAATGATGATGTTTGTTAGGTGAGCCAAATCGTTACTGACTCATAGCAACCCCGATGTTCACTAGAATGAAATACTGGCCAGTTTTGCATCATCCTCACAATCATTGCTATGTTTAAGTCCATTGCTGCAGCCACTGGGTCAGTACATCCATTAAGGGTCTTTTTTTGTCCACTCTCCACTTTACCAAGCATGATAGCATGTCCAAAGTACAAGAAATGAGTCTCAACATCTTGGCTTCCAAAGATTATTCTGGTTGTACTTCTTCTAAGACAGATATGTCTGTTTTTCTGGCAGTCCATGGCATATTCAATATCCTTCACCAACACCATCATTCAAATGGATCAATTCTTCTCTGATTTTCCTTATTCATTATTCCACTTTTCTATGAGTAAGAGGCAACTGAAAATATCATGGCATGGGTTATGTGCAACTTAGCCTTCAAAGTGACATTTTTGCTCTTTAACAGTTTAAAGAGGTCTTTTACAGCAGATTTGCCTACTGCAGTACGTAAATTGATCTCTAGACTGCTGCTTCCATAAGCATTGATTATGGATCCAAGTAAAACTAAATCCTTGACAACTTCAATCTTTTCTTCATTAATCATGATGTTTTTCACTGGTTTGGGTGTGAGGATTTTTGTTTTATGTTGAGGTGTGATCCATACTGTAGGCTGTAGTCTTTAATCCTCTTCACTTTCAGCCAGTAAGGTTGTGTCATCTACGTATCACAGACTGTCAATGAGTTTCCTCCAGTCCTGATGCTGCATTCTTCCTATGGAACAGCTTCTCAGATTATTTGTTCAATGTTGTTGTTGCTATTAAGTACCTTCAAGTCAGTTCTGACTCATAGTGATCTGGTATATGGTTTCCAAGGAGCAACCAGGAGTTTGAAACCCCGACCTGCGGTTAGCAGTCCAGTGCTTATCTTACAGTGCCACATGATGAAGGGATACAACTCTGGCATAAAGCTTTCCTGATTTTAAATCACACAATGTCTCTTTGCTCTGTTTGAACAACTGCTTCTTGATCTGTATATGGGTTCCACATGAGCACAATTAAGTGTTCTGGAATTTTTAATCTTCACAATAGTGTCCATATTTTGTTATGATCCCAGCAATCAAAGGTCTTTGCGTAGTCAATAAAGCACAAGTAAATATCTTTTTGATATTCTTTTCTTTAAACAAAGATCCATGTGATGTCAGCAATGATATATCTTGCCCTCTTCCAAATCCAGCTTGAATTTCTGGCAGTTCCCTCCCTGTTTATGTACTGCTACAACAATCTCTGAATTACCTCCAGCAAAATTTAACTTGTGGGTAATAGTACTGATATTGTTACATGATTATCATATCCTGTTGGATCAACTTTCTTTGGAATGGGCATAAACATGTGTCTATTCCAGTCAGCTGGCCAAGCAGTTGTCTTCTAAATTTCTTGGCACAGATGAGTGACAATTTTCAGTGCTGCTTCAGTGTGTTTAGACAGTTCAGTTGGTATTCTGTCAATTTCTGGAGCCTTGTTTATTCAATGCCTTCAGTGCAACTTGAACTTCTGTCTTTAATACCATCAGTTCTTGATCATATACTATCTCCTGAAATGGTTAAATGTCAACCAATTCTTTTTGGCACAGTGCCTTTGTATGTTCCACCCATTTTTTTTCTTCTTTTTTTTTTTAAATCAAATTCCTGAGTATTTTGCAGATAACACCTTTTAATATTGCAACTCAAGGCTTGAATCTTTTTTTTTCCCAGGCCTTTCAGCTTGAGAAATCCTGAGTGTGTGCTTCTCTTTTGGTTGTTTAGCTCGATGTCTCTGCATACTTTGTCTTCAAGTCACTTTTTGAAATTCTCTGTTCTTCTTTTTTACTTCATCATTTCTTCCATTCACTTTAGCTTCTCTACACTCTAGAGCAAGTTTCAGAGTCTCTACTCACATCAGTTTGGTCTTTTCTTTATCTTTTTGCTTTCTTTTTGTAAAATATTCTGGATGTCATCCCACATCTAGTCTAATCTTCAGTCACTAGTGTTCAAAGTATCAAATCTGTTTTTGAGATGGTCTCTAAACTGAGGTGGAATATACTCAAGGTCATATTTTGGCTCTCGAGGACGTATTTTAATTTTCTTTGGCTACAATGTGAACTTGCACATGAGCAACTGATGGTCTGTTCTGCAACTGGCCCTGAGCCATGTTCTGATTGATGATATTAAGCTTCTCTATATTCTCTTTCCACAGATACAGTCGATTTGATTTCTGTGTGTTCTATTTGGTGAGGTCCACATGTATAGTCTGTCTATATTTTTGAAAAAAGGTATTTGCAATTAAGAAGTCGTTAGCCTTGAAAAATTCTGCCATGCTATCTCTGGCAATGTTTCTACTGCCAAGGTCCTATTTCCTTTTTACCAATTCTTTTCCACAACATTTGCATTACCATAACCAGTTATCATCAATGCAACCTGATGACATGTTTTATCAATTTTATAATAAAGAAGTTGGGAGAAATCTTCAAGTTCTTCATCTTTGGTTTCAGTAGTTGGTACATTAATTTGAATAATCATTGTATTAACTGGTCTTCCTTACAGGCCTACAGCTATTATCCTATCACTGACAACATTGTACTTCAGGGCAGATCTTGATTTATTCTTTTTTATGATGAAAGCAACACCATTCATCTTCAAGCTGATATTCCTGGTATAGTAAACAATATTCAGAGGCCAATACCAATTGATTTTAGTTCACTAATGCCTAAGAGATCAATCTCTATGCATTTTATATAATTCTTAATTGTCCACTTCTAAAAAATTAGCCTCTGAAAACTTTGTTAATAGCAGAGGAACACTGTATAATATAGCGCCAAAAGATGAGCCTCTTAATTGGAAGGTACTCAAAATATGACCAGGGAAGAGCTGTTCCCTCACAGTAGAGTCAATCTTAATAATGCGGATGAAGGACAGTTTTTGGGAGATTTTTGTTAAATGCTGTCAAATTGGTTCTGACTCACAGTGACCCTGTATAGGGTTTCTGAGGATTTTCAGGTGAATGATATGAAAAGAGATGAATACTTCAGCTTCATGGTAGGAGAGGAATCATTTAAGAGTTTACATATACTTAAAAAAATTTGAATGTAAATTTGCTTGTCTGTTGCCTCTGATAAATACATATTGGTGCTGTTGTTAATTGCCATGCAGTCGGTTCTGACTCATAGCAACCTTGTTTCAGATTTCTGAGGGGTAGCTGGTGGGTTTGAACTACCTACTATGTTATTCATAGTCCAGTCCTGATCCTACAGTGCCACACAAGGATTAGCAATTAATAAATCAATATATAAATCAATTATGAACATGCAATTATAATTAGGCACATACCAAAGAGGTCCAAGTTCTATTGCTGTCTTTCCAGGCATGCTTCCATGACAGTTACAGGGTAGCTGTCTATATGGATTTTCTGTAAGAAAATAATAAAAAGGGAAATCAAAGGAAAATGGCTGATATTAGGAATAACTGTTATATTAATAATTTGTAGCTACTATATACTGAGGGTCTACTATGTGCCAAGTATTGTACTAAAGATTTTATATACATGAAAATTTTTAATCATTCCAATTCTGAGGTATAATTTACATGGAATAAAATATAGACTTTTATATAAAAAAGCTAATAGATTTTGACAAATATACACATCCATGTAACCACCACCCCAGTCAAACTATAGAACATTTACATTACTTCAAAAGGTCTTCTTGTACTCCTTCCCAGTTACTGTCTAACCCAGGTAATCATGGATCTGCTTTCAAACATTAGAGGCATGCTGTTGTTGCTGCTGAGTATAATCGAGTTGGCTCTGATTCACAGAGACACTATATAGGGTTTACAAGGAGTAGCTGGTGGGTTTCAACTGCACACCTTGTAGTTTGCAGACCAGTATTGATCCTACAGGAGTCCAACATCACTACAGACGTTGTTGTGGTTGTTAGGTGCCACTGAGTCAGTACCAACTCATAGTGACCTTATGCACAGCACCCTGATCCTGGGCCAACTTCATTATTGTTGCCATGCTTGAGTCCATTGATGCTGCCACTTTGCCAATCTGTCTCGCTGGGGGTCTTCCTCTTTTTCTCTACCCTCCACCCTACAAAACATGATATCCTTCTCCAGGGAATGGTCCCTCATGACAATATATTCGAAGTATAAGAGACAAAGTTTGGCCATCCTGGCCTCCAAGGAGCACTCTGGCTGCACTTCTTGCAACACAGATCTGTTGGTTCTTTTGGCAGCCCATGGCATTTTGAATATCCTCCTCCAACACCACAACTCAAAATCATCAATTCTTCTACGGTCTTCCTTATTCACTGTCCAACTTTCGCATGCATATAAGGTTACTGACAATACCATGGCTTGGGTCAGGCGCACTTTAGTCTTCAAG